GAGGTGACATTCCCGAGTCCGAGCCGCCGCCGACATCGCCACCATGGGTAAGTGTCGCCACCGCCCCGGCCTGTGCCCGCGCTGCTCCGCGTCGCCCCGCCCCACCCCTGCCCTGGGGGGAGGAGGACTCTGGGCCGCTGCCTGACAGGCATGGACCGCCCGGCCCCGCCGCCCGCCCGCTCGCTCGCTCGTTCGCGGCTCCGCAGCCCGAGCGCGGGATCTAGCGGCTGGGCCTGCCGAGGCGGCGCTGCCGGCCAAGCCCAGTGGGTAGCCCTGCTTCCGGGCGGCGCGGCGGGTGCGGGCGCATCCCGGGCCGGGCGGCGGGGAGCGGGCGCCGTGTGGGCCCGGGCCGGAGGCTGGTGCAGGCCCAGCTGCTGTTGTGTCTTTTCCTTGATTTGGTTTTTTTTCCTGCCTGTGTCATTTCCTTCCCTTCGCTCGCTCAGGCCGGCGCGCGGGGAGACGGCGGGCCCGCGGCTCCTGCCAGTTACAACTTCTACCTTCCTTTCCGAAAACTCCCTCGTGGCAGTGTTTTACCCGTGGTTCGGATCTTGCGATACCACTGCAATTATGTAACCTTTGAAAGAGACACATTCGCCGCACACGGAGCCTTTCCATGAAATCATTTCCTTTTCATCAATACTCGCAAATTCTGCAAAGATGTCATCTAAGAAAAGCTTGTAATGTCTTTCATACGCGGCATCAGAACCGAATTACATTTCATCTCCTTTGTGGTCACTTGGCAAATGACTAGTGAACTAGATTAAGAAGCAAATGATACTTTTAGGTGGATCGCAGCTTCTCCTGTTGGCACAGTAACAGTGATTCTGTGGCCTGCAGTCTCAAATCTTCCTAAATGTTGGCTGTACTGCATTGCAAGGTCAAGTCATTTTGAAGGAGGTTATGTGCATGCTGTGGCACACTGGCCAGAGAGTCCTTTTTGGGCCATCTCTGCGCTGACTTTGAATGAATTGCCTTCCACTACGTACCGTCCTCCTTACAGTCCGGGAAGGGTTTCATTTGCTGGGCTTTAGTTCAGAAATGCTTATTCTTCTCCGGAAGGTCTCCTACGAGAGTGAGCCCAGTTAGCCTTGGTATTTAAGTAAATAAAGAAGCCAGCAAATATTTATCCGATGTTTACTATCACTGGGGCGCAGAATTCGGGTTTCCTCCACAGGCCACGGACATGTGTCTTGCATTAGGGAATTGGGAGATTGGACTACATCTTTGAATTGATTTTGTGAACCTGTACATGGGGTCTTGCGGAGTCGGAATTGACTTGACAGGAACTACTAAGATCTAGTAAGTTTTTCCTCTTTGTCCTATGGAGACTACCTCAAGTCCCAATGGGGAGTGTGAATCCTTTATGGTGTGCAGACTTCCCTCTCCCCAGTTTTTGGATGGCTGACCCAGTTAGAGGGCTTAGAATGTGTTGGCTGCATTTCATCATCTAACATGAAACACGATGTGAGTCAGTCTTCACATTTCAAGACACTTTCAGAAAGTTGAAGTGTCTGTGTGGATGGGGAGGAAAGGAACTATACAGCGGGGTTCCTGCTCCCCAAAGGAAAATGAACTAGGAACTCAGCGTCTTCTCATTTGTTCCTGCATCTGTTTTACTTGAAGAGCAGGCAGAAAAGGGAGTTAACTTGACTGCTGGGGACTGCAGTCAATCTGGCAAGCGGGTTCAAGAACCACTACAGGCTTTCTTCAGCACTGTACCCCTTTCCTTTTCTTTTTTCCGTAGTTGGTCTGGACATATGATTAGAGCTAATACTGAATCTTCTTTTAAATTTCCTTTGTTAATAAGGACTCAGCAAGCCTATGAGTAAACACACACTCTTAAATACTGCCTCCCTTTGGTGATGTAAATGATAGAAACTAAAATTCCCAGGTTAGTTAGATTACTTTAGTTGCTAATTCTAAATATGTTTTGTTTTGTGAGCACTGGACTGCTAACCCTCAGGTCAGAAGTTCAAATGCACCAGCCTCTGAAGGAGGAAGGTGAGGCTTTCTGCTCCCATAAAGATTATAGCATCAGAAACCCTGCAGAGTTGCTATGAATCAGAATCGACTCAGGGGCAGTGGGTTTGATTTGTGTGGGGTTTTTTATGTATATAGTTGTAAAAAAGGAAATCTGGTGGCACAGTGGTTAAAGCTACTAACCAAAAGATTGGTGATTGGAAGCCACCATCTGCTCTGTGGGAGAAAGCTGTGGCACTCTGATTCTGTAAAGATTAGTCTTGGAAATGCGATGGGGCAATTCTCATGTGTCCTGTAGGGTCACTGTGACTCAGTCATAGAGTTTGTTCTCTTTTGTTTTTTGGTACTAGTTCAAAATCAACTCAAGGGGTTGATCGGAAAGAAACATAGACTTTGTAATATTTTAGTTACATTTGTTAAACCCAGTGAAAGTTTAGGAAAATTAAGGAAGGACCAAAACTAATTGAGTACCTGCCCTTGCAGGTTCTTTGGTTAACAGTCATCTTTTCCTGAGCTGTTCCAAGCCCTGAACTCAACCCTGTTTGACAACTTGGGTTTGTAATAAAACCAGGTCAGATTTTATATTGGCTCTTAGCCCCAGACAATTTCTAGTGGAAACTACACTTATTCCTGTAAATAATGGGAAATAGTGACCTTTTTGCTTTAATGCTGTTTCCGCTGAGTGCCATGGAGTCTATTCTGACTCATAGTGACCCTGTGTAGGGTTTCCAAGGAGCAGCTGGTGGGTTTGAATGGCCAACATTATGCTTTGCAGTCCAGTGCTGATCCTTTAGTACCACACCAGAAGGCCTTTGACTTTGATACTATGTGGCTTTTTTTTTTTTAATTGGGATTGGTGTTGTTGTTGTTGTTGTGTGCCAAAGAGTCAGTTCCAACTCATAGAGACCCTGTACAAGGTTTCCGAGGCTGTAAATCTTTATGGGAGCAGAAAGTCTCGTCTTTCTCCCCTGGAACAGCTGGTGGTTTTGAACTGCTGACCTTGTGGTTCGCAGCCTGATTCGTAACCACCAGAGCTCCTTAAATTGGGATTAGCTGGTCATTTTTACTTGACCACTCTAGAATTTTTAGTACTTACAAGTGGCAAATGCTGTTAATAGCTTTTGGAGACTAATTTACTAGTGTGTGTTTGGACTTTTTACATGTGCAATCTGAAACTTACTGTACTGGGAATGTTACTGAAAGCATGTAACAATTTGGAAATGTTACAGGAAACCTAACTATCATGAACTGAATACACAATTAAGAATGTCTAGTTCTGGTTTGATACTTTAGTCTTGAGTAAGAATCATTGTGATTTGCCAGTACCTATATAGCTAGGGCTATTGGGAGTTCCTAGTTAGTCCAGTCTCAATTCAGTTTCTCTAGAATCAGAAGTTGTTGTAGACTCTGAGTAGTTGTTTTGATTGAAACTTGGAACACAATTTAGTAAGTCATTACAGTGATGTCATGACTAAATTTTTGCTATTTTTTTAAATGACAGATGGAATTTTGTTGTTGTTACGTGCCATGGAGTCAGTTCCGACTCATAGCGACCCCGTACAGGGTTTCCAAGGCCGTAAATCTTTACGGGAGCAGAAAGCCTCATCTTTCTCCCATGGAATAGCTGGTAGTTTTGAACTGCTGACCTTGTGGTTCGCAGTCCGATTCGTAACCACTATGCTACCAGAGCTCCTTAGATGGAATTTTAGGCATTAGTAAAATTATTTAGGGAAATATGCCGAGGACCAGTCACTAGAGAAGGATAATCATGTTTGTTTTGGTAAGGTGAAAGGTCAGAGAAAAAGAGGAAGACCCCCCCAACGAGATGGATTGTCCAAGTGGCAGCATAGATGGACTCAAGCATGGCAACAGTAGTGAGGTTGACCCAGGATCGGGCAGTGTTTCGTTCTGCTGTGCATAAGGTCGCTGTGGGTCGGCACTGACTCGATGGCACCTAACAACAACAAAAGCAATACAGAGGATAAGAAGCAGTGTTCCTGGTCCAGGAACATTGAATCTTTGTCCATTTATCAAGTGCTTCTCATGTACCAGGCTCAGTGTTAGGCCTGTACTTGCATTTGTCTGGTCCTCAAGAAGTTAGCAGTTCTATAAAATGAACCAGAAACATGTAAATATATAAGTGCAATGAGTTCTTGTAGGTGCCATGTCAGAAGTTTGTAAAGGGACACAAGCAGGAGAGATTCGTTCTGTAGTTTGGGGGTTGACACACATAACTATATAATCTCTAGCCCTTTCACTTAATTTCATAAATATTCAATTGAAGCATAGTGGTGACTTACACTGATTTCTATGAAGGAAGAAACCGAACCATCAATTAACACTGAATGCCTGTTGTACCCTAGAAACAGGAACTATTTGAAGAATAGATTCTAGAACTTGAGTTTGAGATCTAGAAAAGGTTCAACCTTTGTCCTCAAAGGAGAAAAAAAGTTTCTTGTGAATTAAGGATCAGGCATTATTGTCTGGTTACACTTGCTGTAAAATGATGTTTGCACAGGTATGGACAGGGTGGAGAATGTGGAAGTGTATAAAATGTCATGAAGAGAAAGGTAATAAAATGTGACTCAGGTACACTCTGAAGCACAGGATACCTTGTTTGAACAGTGATCAGCAACCTTGTCAGAAATTGATAGATTATTAAAATAAAGAAATAATATCATTACTTAAGTGAAAACAAAGATTAAAATATTACTTTGTATGTATGATGAAGATAGAGTGTCTGGCATAGCAAACAGACATCACCCAAGACATCATTGTCAATTGGAGGACGTGGTGCTTCTGGAAACTTTACTGGTGTTTTAGCCAAGGGAATTCATAAATGCAAGTGCTATGGGCCCTGCTTTTAGATAGAAAGTTGAGTCCGTCTGGAAGAGTGCCCACCTGCTGGAGCTAATGAGAAGAATGAGTTGCCTGGCAGCCCGATGTATTGCATTAAGCAAATCTGCTGCATAAGACCTCTTTAAAGTGTTCAAGAGCAAAGATGTCAGCTTGAGGACTAAGATGTGCCTGACCCAAGTCATAGTATTTCAATAACCTCATATGGATGTGAAAGTTGGACAGTGAATAAGGAAGACCATGGAAGAATTGATGCATGTGAGTTATGGTGCTGGAGGAGAATATTAAAAGCACCATGGATTGCCAAAATAAACTAATGTGTGCTGGAATAAGTGCAGCTAGAATGCTCCTTGGAGGCTAGGATGGCCAGACTTCATCTCTCATACTTTGGACATATTATCAGGAGGAACCAGTCCCTGGAGAAGGATATCATGTTTGGTAAAGTGGAGGGTCGGAGAAAAAGAGGAAGATTCCCAATGAGATGGATTGGCAGAGCGGCAGCAGAAATGGGCTTAAATGTAGCAATGATTGTGAGGCTAGCACAAGACCAGGCAATGCAGATTTCTGTCTGCATAAAACTTCCTTAGAGCTTCCACTTTTTAAGCCTGAACCTTAGTCCTTGTGTTCTAGACCCTTTCTTTTCTGTTTTCTATGAATACTCCTTCCTACCTTTGATTCTTAACCTCTTAATCACAAGAATTACTTCTTCCTCTTTGTGCATCCTCATTGTTGCTAAGTCAGTTCCAACTCATAGTGATCCTGTATAGGGGTTTCCAAGGAGCAGCTGGTGAGCTTGAACTTCAGACCTTGCGGTTCAAACGATCTTGCAGTCCAGCACGTTAACCCACAGTGCCACACCAGGACTCCATGGTTAAAGTGTAGCTGTCTACCCCATCCTCAGGATGTCTTTTTGAGGTTCTGGCACACTATTCCCCCTGCCTCAGCTTGTTCATATGTAAAGCTCACAAATGTATTGCTAATTTTCATTACTTCAAATTTTCTTTTAATTTTTAAAAAGAAAATCTCCAGCTTCTTAATTATCTTGAAAGTTTTCCTTCTGTGTCTCCTGCCCTGTCGGGCCTGCCAAGTTACTTCTGCTGCTGTTCTTTTGGTTTTGACATCTGTGGTGTCACTGTTTTGTTTTGCTGTTCAATCCTTTCAGAGGCTCCTATACTGACTTCTTTCTCCTCACTGTCCTTCGTTAGACTCACCCTGACTCTCTTTTCTTCCTTCTTTCCCCCTTACTTATTCCTCATGCTTTTTATCCTCTGGTTTTTTTTTATTATTATTATTATTATTTATTTAAGCTCTCATGGATCACATGATCTTTGTCTGATCTGCAGCCAGTCATAGTGATGGCATAGGACCGGACAGTCTTACATTCCCTTGTGCATGGGGTAGGGGGGTCCCCTTGACTCTGGGGCCAACTTGACAGCTACCACCACCAAAAGCATTACTTGGAACAGCTTGCTTTTCAGAAAGAATATTCTGCTAATATATCTTGCAAGGTCAATTTTTTATACATTTGTGTTTATGTATTCTGGTTAGTATAGTTTCTAAGTCAGTGTAATTCTATACTTACATTTGTATGTGTGCTTTTTATTCCTAGAGTTTGAACACCTCCAAGTATCTTTTTAATTTTTTCTAATGCTCTGGTAGCATACTGATTATGAGTCGGGCTGTGAACCTCAAGGCCGGCAGTTTGAAACTACCAGCGGTTCCGCGGGAGAAAGATGAGGCTTTCTGCTCCCGTAAAGATTTACAGCCTTGGAAACCCTGCACAGGGGTCGCTATGAGTCGGAACCGACTCCACGGCACATAACAACAACAACAACAACAAATATGATGATAGGTATTCAGTAAATGGCTATTGCTAATGATTAATAAAAGTTCAGGAATATAATAAATATTAGGATAGATTATGTGGTCTCCAGTCTTTTTCTATTGATGACAATAACAGCCAGCATTTTTTTTTTTTTAGCATTACTAATTATTGTGTATCATTGAGCCAATTTGACTCATAGCAACCTTATACGACAGAGTAAAATTGCCTCATAGTTTTCTTGGTTGTAATCTCTATGGGAGCAAGTCACCACCTCTTTCATCCACAGAGCAACTGTTGGGTTTGAACTGCCAACTTTTCATTAGCAGCTGAGTACTTAACTTTTGTACCATCTTACTAACTGTTGTGTGCTGTTGAGTTAGTTCTAATTCATAGCAGCTCTGTATAGGGTTTCTAAGGAGAAGCTAGTGGATTTGAACCACTGACCTTGCAATTAGCAGTCCAGTACTTACCCTAAAGCACCATACCAGGACTACTACTAAGTGTTATTGTTGTTAAATGCAGTTGAGTCTATTCCAACTCATAGCAACCCTGTATAGGGTTTCCAAGGAGCATCTCATAACTGCCAATGTTGAGGTTAGCACCCCACTGCTTATCCTACAGCAACATTCCTACTAAGTGTTGTTGTTGTTATTAAGTGCCATCAACTCAGTTCCGACCCATAGCGACCCGGTATAGGTTTTCTGAGGAGCAACTGGTGAGCTTGAACCACCCACCTTACAGTTCAAATCAACTTTGCATCCATCACATTAACCCACAGCACTACACCGGGACTCCACTAAGTGTTAGGGACCATGGAAAGTGAGTATTTTTTCCTTTTAACTGTTACGACTGTATGAAAGTTTACTTGTATTATCCCATTTCACAAATGGAAAAATTGAGGCTTAGGAAGAATAAGTGATTTACTCAAGGCCTCCCAGTTAGTACCTAGTTTGATTTAGGACTTAGACCCAGCATTTTCTGACTCCAAAGTTCATTTTCTTAACCACTATACTCTAAAAAAACTGCTATGCTTTTAAAGGTTTTATTTGTTTTTATTTTATTTTTAAGGAATGCCACTGAAAGAGTGTTGGCAATTTAGTTAAAATCTCAATCCAGGAAGAAATCCCTAAAAGAGCTGCTTGATTTACTTCCTGTCTTTATCCATGTTCTCAATTTGAAGTCTCAGCTTAAGAACATATCTGCCTAGAGCAGTGTGTTCTACTCTGGCACAAAATCAGATTCTTTAACCTTGCTTCACTTGTGTCAGTTGTCTTTGATTTCAGATCGTGCCAAACCATTCCCCTAGTATGTTCTAAATGCTGAAACGACCAAACAAGTTTATCCATTAAGTAATGCCAGGAATTGGTTAGTTTCCTGGAAACAGAATTTGTGAACCTGATAAACCAGCTCTTATAATAGCATCATCTCCAGAATTAGAAATGGTTTCTGCAGTCACACTTGTCAATTTGATCTGAAAGGTGGTTTTGTGTGTATGTCTGGTTTGATACCTGACTTCAGACAACAATTAAAATCCTCAATTCTAAGGGTGGTCATGTTGATACTGAAAACTATGCGTTCTGCTCTTTTTGCGTAATGCACCTTAGAAAATATCTACCTATTTAATCTAATTTACTATTATTGTTGCCCCAATTAATATAATATATATGTATTTATGCTTAGTAATGTATATAATAATGTATATAAACCAGTCTTCTTAGCTTACATATTACACTTGTTTTTACACCTTGGTTGGGAAGTTGGAAGAAAAAAAACAAATTCTCTTTCTTTACGGAGTCTGTAGAGAAATTAATAGAAAATAATACAAAATAATGGGATATGTGTGCTTTAATCTTGATAAATGGACCATGGACCCACTTTTTCCTCATTCACTATTCCCTTTACAATGTGCTTTCTGCAGTACAGCTATGTGACTTTTATACACACTTTTTTATGTATTCTAAAGTAGAATTATATGGGAAATTACTGTTGCTTTTCCTGCAAGATTTAAATCTAAATTCACTTTTCTGAACAGGCAAAAATCTTGTCATAGGCACCCTTTCCTTCCTTTCCTGCACCTCCTCAAAGGGCAAAGGGGCACCCAAGCACATTTGGTTTAGGAAGCAGGGAGAGGCAGATAGCATGGGAGAAGAGAATGGAGCAGTTTTCCTTCCTATACTTCATGCTGTTCTTTTCTTCCAAGGGGTATTAGAGTATTTCCAAGGGCCGTGACAAAGGGCAGGAGATAGGCACTGTCCTGGGGTGGAGTCTTTAGTACTTGCTTCTTAAGGTGTGCCCCAAGTGACTCACTTGTCACCACAGCAAAGTGCAGCAACTAGTGCCTCTTGCCTTCTAGGTCAGCAGATTTATTTATATTCAATTCTTATTAACTCAGAAAAAAAAAAAAGAGTATCTTTCATGTCCATTCAATTGGAAGGACAAGGATCTTTTGAAGGACCTGGGGAATTTTTGCAAAACATGGCACTGGATTGGCTTGGGGTCTGGGTTTGGCTAGTTGCCTTCAGTGCATGAGAGTTCCAATACCACATGCTATTTCAAGAAAAAGAGATTAAAAGTAAGGCAGAGACAATACATTGCTTGGTCAGTTAGGGAAGAATATCAGTAGAACTGCCTTTTGACACCCCCTGGGAAGCAGAGGGTCTGTAAACTTGTAAAAGGTTAGAGTTTCTAGAAGCTAGACTTGTAAAACAACTTCACTTCCAAGCAGCTAATGAAGTCCTTGTTTGGTGCCTTATGAAATGTGTTGTCCTGTATGTGATGCTTTAAGAATAGGTTTGGAATTGACTCTGTCCTGTAATCAGCCTTCTACTAACTTGTCTTTTCATTCACAACTCTACCATGCTGTGCTATGTTGTTCTGCTCACCAGTTTCTCATTGTTTCCTTGTTGAGTTTCTCTGGCACTGGGCATACTGTGCTTCTTGAGCACATGACTGTGCGTGTATACACACACACAGAGTTAATATTGGTGCCAGAAATCTGATTGGGGAGCTGTTAAGAATCCATTAAAATTAAAAATTACATAGCCTGACCTCCACTATCTACTTTTCAGAGGCATCCAGTGCATGTAGCAGGGTCTGTTGTTTCACATGGGTGCAACCCCCTGATAGTCGTGTCATTTGTGAAAGTACTTTTGATGGTCTGTGCTAAGTATCATAGCCCATGTGATCTCTTTCACTGCAGATGAACAAGAAGCATTGGATTCGATCATGAAGGATCTGGTGGCCCTCCAGATGAGCCGACGTTCCCGGCTGCCTGGATATGAGCCCATGAAGAACAAGGACACGGGTCACTCAAATAGGCAGGTGTGTATGCTAGCTAGATGTGTCAGGGGAAGGACGTAAGAAGCCAGTGGTACTTTAATAGCAGGCTTGGGTGCTATTGGACCCTTCCTTCCATACTCTATTAAATGCTAAGTGACATATACCAACCAAAGAGTAGGTCCATGGTCTGGTCTCCAGAACCTTGTGCGTCTGCCCCCAGCACCTCTTCACCCGAGGAGACTGAGAGTAATTCCTCCACTTGTTGTGAAGGCACTATTTACTGATTATTTTGTAAATACTTTATCCAGATTCATGATCCCTAACTTGGAGGGTGTTTAGCTACCTGTATTCTTAGATACTCAAGAAAAGGTAATTTTGGTATTAGTGTATGTAAACTATAACTTTGTTAAAAGGTCATCTGGTATATTGTAAAGGCAGCAATGAGTGACTTCATATTGCCGTTGTTTGTAATTGTTTCCCCTGTTAATTCAGGTAATGGAGAGTACCTGCTTTATTGCAGTTGTCTGGTTCTTTAGGAAAACAGTTTCTTCTTTGGGCAGCATTGAGCCTTGTGTGCTGTTGAGAACCTTCTTGCCTCCAGTGCCTTCTGTTCCCTGTTTCCTGAGCATGGAGGTCTGTGTGAGTGAAGGATGCTTTGTCCCCAGTGGGTTTCCAGCACTGCATCAGTTGGACATGCTATTCTCCCTTGTGGTTCTGTTTTGTTATCAGCGAAGCCCTACTCTCCTCCTTTGCACTTTGTCCTCCAATTCTTTAGAAGTACCCTTAGTTCTACTGTCACTAGGATAAGCACTAGACCGCAAGGTTGACTTGAATTATAAGCTCAGCAGTTCAAACTCACCAGCTGCTTCTTGGAAGCCCTATACAGAGTGGCTATGAGTAAGAACTGACTTGATGGCACTTAACAACAACAGCCCGTAGTTCCCAGAGAAAGCATAAGGCCTTCGAAGATTTTCTGTCTGGGGTCTGGTAGCTGCAGCTCCCGGAGTAGTTCCTGTCATTGGGACTTTCAGAAGCCTGGAGTCCTTCTGTTTCGTGTTATAACAAGGATTTCTTTCAAAGCTGCTTTTATTTTTGTGGTTACCTTACAGAGCTTGGGGAATAACAGACTAGAGCCCATTCTTGTATTCTCTTCATACATCATTCATTCTATATAATTGTGTAGTTTCTCAATTGCCACAATATTCAAAGCTGCTTTTGGAAGGAGCCGTTCTTACCAGAAATGAGTCCCTTCCCCCAGGTTTGAGCCTAATGACCTCACTTTCCTTCCTGTCTTCCTATGTGGAGTGTGCTTGCTAATGTGCTCCAGTCAGCTGATCATTCTCCACGCTGGGCTGTTCGTGTGTACATCAGCTAGTGGGTGACTAAATGAAGTTTTCTTGAGTTGGAAGAACCACAGAACCAGGCTGGGAGGAGGAGGGATAGAGTGGTCCCTAGTAGTTCCTTGAAGGGGGATTATCTTTTAGGAATCCTTCTGCTCAGAGTCTAAAATGTATTAGAAGTTGTAATCTTTTATGATGCCCACTCTGTCATTGGAACAACATGGCTTCGAAGGGAGAAGGTTGTGAAAAGGATTGAATACTGCTTAGGAAAGACTCCTAATGACTTACTGGTACTGTGGACCCACAACTTACTTGCATATCGACAAACTTGTTTTGTTCCATGGAGGGTATAAATTAACCTCAGGTTTTTTTTGTTTTGTTTTTAAAGAAAAAACACAACAGCAGCAGCCCAGCCCTTCTGAACAGCCCCACAGTTACAACAAGCTCATGTGCAGGGGCCAGTGAGGAAAAGACATTTTTGGTAAGGAACCAAACCATGCTTTAAACCCGAAATGTGCTTGTCAATCTGATACTAGTGCTGGAAGACTATAGCATTCATTTCCCAGATAAATCGTTAAAAGAGTACGTAGGGAGTGCTGGTTACTCATGACCTCTGCTCTGTGTCTCTAGTCACCATTTCTCACAACAGTATTACTTACAAACAGCCTCACTCAGTGCTAGCCAATTTGGTAGCCACTAGCCATATATGAAACTATTCACTACTGAGAAACTATGTAAACTCTTCATTCAAATAGTCACATGTGGCTAGTGACTACTGTATTGGACAGCACAGTTTTATGTACTAAATATAAGGGACTTGATTTGGAGGGCAAGCATTGAAGTATATGCTTAGAGATTCATTGATACGTTCATTCCTTTCACATAGGTAATGAGTTTCTAGGCATTGCAATAAACTCATCAGTGGGAATCCTCTCTAACGATTCTATTCCAGGGAGAAGAGAGGACCTGGGGCAAATGTGAAGGCATCGAACTTCATAACATAGCTTGTTAGGAACTGAAGCTCAAATTTCATGCAAGCATCGGATAAAAGAGCAATGAAAATGTCAAAATAACTTTTCCCAGTAATGAAGCCAGGGTGGCAGAATGGTCTCTCCTGGGAATTCTGAGAGCAGAAAGAGGGATCAGGTCTTAGTGAATGCGAGGTGGGGGATGCACATGTAAGGTGGTGTTTACAGCTTAGTGTATTCAAAAGAACCAGGCCTACGAGTCGAGTCCAGAGATGCTAGTAATCCATTAACCTAGGGCTTTATAATTTACAGAGTGAATTCACATTTATTATTGTTGTTAGCTTAGGCCTGGGATAGAATGAAACTGTTTTCTTCATTAGCAGTTTTTCCACCAGAAGGGCCATGCTTAGGAAAAGGAGGAACAAAAGATTAAAGTCTAATTTAAATGGCTAAGAAATGTCAAATTGGGCATCAAGTTGGACTAAAGATTCAAATTGCAGAGTCCCATTTGAAAGTAACCAAGTATTTTGGCTAGAAGAAAGGGTGTTTATTCAAGAGTAAATGGTCCTGGCAGAGGCAAGCAGCCCTTCAGTGTGAAAACGGCAGTGCTAGCTACAAGGCACAGTTGAGATGGGTACAGCCTTATGGGGCTCAAACTTGGCATAGCAAGAAAGCCAGAGGATCTGTAGGCTCGTTGACAGAATTGTTTTGGAGCTGAGGCCTGAAAAAACTGGAAAGCCTAATTTAATCTCTCTGCTTGGCAATACTTTAGACCTCCTTTTCTCTAAATAAACCAACTAGGTAAAGAGAATGCATTTGAGAACAAGTAAGCATTCTGAGCAGCTTTGGTAGTATGTGGGCAGTGAGGTACCAGCCGTAAACTATGGGTTAGGAGATGGGATCTATGTTCTCTGTTTTCTCTCCCTGAAGTCTATCGTGTGTTGAGAGCTGGCTGACTTCCTCAGTTTATGATGCACCAGCTACAGCTGGGACCTGTGGTTGGTTTTCCTATCACATATGCGTATCCCTTTAGCAGCGGTCGCTAGTTCTCTGTGGAGTGGACATTTGTTGTGTAATGAGAAGACCCCTGACCTAGGAATCATTGAGTTGTTTGTGTCCATTAACATAGGATTGTACACTTCACAGAGTGCTTTCAACAACAGCAAATACAGGGTTGTAGGAGGAATGCAGAATCAGAAGAGGGTTCAAGGGATGATGGCTAACTGAGACCTTTGCCAGGTCAAATGAGTTCACAGACCTTTCTCTAATAGGCAGATGATTCTTCTGGATTCTTGAGAGCCCTGTTGGGTTACATATTTAACTGTCAAGGTTATGTTGTTGTTTAGTGCTGTCGAGTGGGTTCCGACTCACAGTGACCCTGTGTAGGTTTCTGAGGAGCAGCTGGTGAGCTAGAACTGCCGACCTTGCAGTTCAGACTTTGCAGTCCAGCTCATTAACCCCCTTAATTTTGGTGTCATTGTCAGTTGCTTCTGTTGCCCCTGCTGAGTTCTCAGAACTCCTCTTCCCAAACAGGCTGTGATGGGCCAGGGGAGTAGAACCTATTGAAACCCGGGATTTTGGTATGGTAACTTTTTCCTCAGAAGCTATAGCATGTCTTTATTGAGCTTAGTATGTGGCTGTAGTCAAGCTTAGACCCACAAATAAGTATGTCATATTCCCTGCACTTCAGGAAATAGGAAATGAGAAATACATACATGTGAAAAAGAAACTAGGGTAGGATGTGGTTGTGCCTAAATGTGTGGTGCAATACTGAGTGCTAGGGGAGGCCAGGAAAGTAAAGACTGAGCTTGGGCCAAAGGTATTAAGTGTCACTTCTGAAGGAGGTGGCACTTGAACCAGGCTGGAAAAGGTGTATAAAAGTTTGTTGTTGGTGTTATCATGTGCTGTCAAGTCACTTCTAACTCCCAAGCCCCCCATGTGTTATAGAATAGAGCTGCTCCATTGGGTTTTCTTGACTGTAATCTTTACAGATGCAGATCACCAAGTCTTTTCTTCTGTGGTGTGGCTAGGTAGTTGCAAACCACCAACCTTGGGTTCCCAGCCAAGCACAAACTGGGGCCTTGTACAAGTTTAGTTAGGTGGAAAGGAGGAAGAATGGCAGTGTAAATTGGGAAACAGAATGGTGAAAATTCCTAGAGGAAGGAGGGAATATGGCATCATTCAGGAAATAAGGTGGGCATTGACCTGGTTGGAGAGGAGGGTTCTTATAGCTGGTCGTGTAAACTGAATGAGCCTACATTCCAGAGGACTCAACATGATAGCTGAGGACTTCGACTTTATTTTGTAGGCCATGGATGTCACTGGTTAGTGTTTCAACAAGGAAGGGATATGAGTGGCTTGGAAGGAAGAAGCCAAGAGGTACAGAGGCTACTTTCGGAATCCAGGAATGAGAGGAAAGGGGCTCTTCACAGTGGTGTTGGAGAGACTGGGAAGTAGGGACTCTCACCTTGCTTGGAACTTGTTACCTAATTCTGAGGAAGAAAGGAAGGCAAGAATCAAGCAGAACTCAGAGGCTTGACCCTTTGTAGCTTAGAGAGCAGTGGGACCAGCATTAGAAATAACGAGACTTAGAAGGAGGTGATACAGACCACATGGATAGATGGAGTTCTTGGTCACAGTGAAAAAAACTTCTGAGTATGTGTGGTATTTGTGGGTCCACAATCACTTACCTGAAATTCTGAAACCCAAAAAATACTACAAACTGAATGTTTTT